TTCTTTTGCTTATTTTGAATTTTTGTGTTACATGTTGAACTTGCAATTTAATTGGTCATCATCGCTGACATCATCAAAAAATTATCATATGGCCCGAAATTGGGGGTCGTCCTGGTGGATTCACTTTAGGATGTAAATAATATCTCGACATCCAGTGACCCGATTTGAGCGAAAATATACTATTTGATTCGCCTAGATTAGACAAACCGAATGATAGAACTTTCGCTCAAATCGGATCACTGGACGTCGAGATATTGTGTCTTAAAGTGACCGATTTATTGTATTTGAGGCATGAAAGTTTTATGAACTCTAACAATCTACATGTATAACGAGCGATCAGGTGTCGTCATTTAACGTTCCAGAAAAGTTGGGTGCGTTATAGTATAATTTTGGACAATGACGCAGTCGGATACTTATGATCGCTACTGCAATACGTATTTAGTTCGATTAGGCAGATTTTCAATAATATTCAGGTGGTAAATCATTCCAATCATTTTTAGCATACAAACTTGATGGAGGTGGAGTTTGTCGACGTACCATGATTTCATCTCAACCCAGAGATTTTCAATAGGATTTAAATCAGGACTTTGCGCTGACCAAACGTGACTGGAATTTCTGCATTTTCGCGTTTTCTTGGAGAGATTAGTTTCATTTTTTAAAGGGAAAAAAACGAACTTTCAGAGCCAACGATATTATAAAAAACAAAAGATCTACATGTGTTCATTTTTCTCCTTAAACAAACGCGAAAAGTGGATCTAATTTAGGCTCCCGCATAATTTTGAGCGATAGTAGCTTACATAAAAACAAGTGGAATTCAAGCCGTACTAGCGACTCCAAGAACATTAACCAAGTTCCGCACTCCAACAATATCATTCATTGTTAATTTGATGTATTCTAAAAATTATGTAGTTTAAAAAACTGACAACGTTTGTCCTGTTCGAACTTCCTGTAATGGGATTGTTTGCGGTCGCAATACTTATCGTTATGTACTTGTAGTTTGGTGTGACACCGAGTATACTCTGAATACAGATTGTATCATTTTAACCTTTAATGTATATTGATATACAGGTAATTAAATAATTTACACGTATCAGTATCGTATAGGTTACGAACTTTGTAAATGGATGAACCCTTACTACATGTATTACCATTACATAATTAAATCGACAAGTTACGTTAAAATCTTGAAATAAACAAGTACGTATTTCATGCAAATTATCGTTATTGTTACCCGAAGAAAAACGTACGATTTCCAATAAATACAAAATGGCTTTTGTCCACTACAGGTTTTCGATATAAGGATGAGCAACGAGTAATTTAAGAAACGAGGGTGCGGAGAAAATATTATATAATTTTATTATTGCAGTTAAATATGATTCACATTAAATGATACGTAATTACCGTATTTTCTAATACAGAAATAAAATGTAAAATGAACTATCATTGTTATTTTTAGGTTTTACGTATGTGTACAATCATTAACGTTTTTACGATTTACATGTATCGGTATACGTATTCTGAATCTGGTGAAATGTCGGTTTTCTACAGGATTAACGTTAACGATAATAATGAGATTAGACGCCTTTAGAGAATTGCGTGAAGTTAACCATCCACATGATAGAAATTTTCATTATGCATAATAGAACTGTCGAATATGTTCATTCCAAGAAAAGTTTACACGACCTAAATGAAAATTTATTTGTTCGTTAAAAGAAACATGGAATTTTCAGTCTTTATTGCTTTTTACTGCTGAAAATTTCGTGGCGTAATTGATATTATGATCAAATTCTAATCTTATTGAGGTTGTTAAGAGATGACCGGTGTTTGATAATTCGAATATTGTTTCTGTCTATGGACTCTAAGGGAAAGAAACTGATCGCGATTCATGGCAGTTGGGAACGCATGAAATAAAAAGAGAAGCGAATATATTTTTCAACATTGTGAGGTACTTTACAAATTTAATTCATTTTCATTCCATTCCCGATCAAAAAATCTTAATAACTAAACTACAATGCTCGTGGTGATGATATTTGATAATGACAAATGATGTGGTGGTCTGTTTAACGAAAGGGAGTGCAATTTTGCATCAATGGTTCATTTACGATAAATTCATATCGAGCAGATATGCCTATAGACATAATGGTTTACTCCGTATTGCCCCAGTTATTGCAATTGTCGCACAAAGATAAGCGGTATGTCCAGTATAAGATATTTATGGCTTCGCCTGGTTTTTGAATTACGTATACGTACGCAATAATCATTTGAATTAGATAAATGAAAAATTTGAGTTTCCATTCTTTTTTCAAGTTACTTGTGGCGTCTGCTGGCTCAATTAATTACGTCAATGACGCAATTCATTGTCACCTGACTCATTACTTACGCAGAATTCAAATCTAATCATGAAATCCAAATTTATTACACAAGCTATGAAATTAATTACGTACGTCATTGATGATGAATTTAAAAATTTAATGATTTATGGTGCCGGAAATCTATAATCGCCAATCTCGTGATAAAAATAAGATATCTTTAAACCACTAAAACTTTTTACAAGAAAAAACTAAACCGATAACTTTAGAGTGTATCTCGAATTACAAATTTATCAGTTTATTTTTTCAAAATTACCTCTGTGTTAAGTAGAGTAGGATTTCAAAGATTCTTGATTGGCGATTATAGATTTCCGGCACCATAGATTTTAATCGTATAGTGAAGCTAATTTAACTAATTAATTACGTACATTATTAGAAGATTTTACTTAAATTATGTTCTCTTTGCCTGTTCTTGCACTTCTATCTAGAATATATTTTTATTAGTTCCAGAATGCCTAAAACAATGAATGTCAAAATGTACGTCTTAATTTAATTTGAAAATAAACAATATTTATTAATAAGAGAAAATTTCAGTGATTGCCAAGAAAAATTTAATATTTGCCAAGAAATTTGTATGCACAGTGCATTGTTTATTCTGGCTACTGTATATTGATTAAATTGTCTTTCAAAAGATTTATTATTCATTAATTATACTACCTTTCTACCTATTTTCTTTCTTCCACGCTTTGATCGGATTTCTTAACATTAACGTTAATCGATTTATGCAAATCCATTTATGCATGTCTCTTACCGTTACACTTGCTAATTTGCCCATGTGTAAATCTGATTCTTTTTCTTAAAATTAGAAAAGAGAATACATACAAACGATCATTCGTTTCTATTCTCGAACTACCGAAACATAAAGAATCCAAGAACCAAAGAACGGATGGATCGATGTGGTTTTTCCTCTCGGTTTTAAGAGTTCCGAATGGAGAAAATCGTTATCTTCATTAACACATGCAATTGAGTAGTAAGAAGTGGAAAAGTTAAGATAATAATGTTCATCCATAAAATCGACCTTGATATATTCGGTTTATCGTTATCAATCTGATATCAACGTTACGTGAATTTAAGTTTATAGATCAAGAAGCTTTACTTTAGACAAGAAAATCAAGCAAAAACAAATTGTCTTCGATGATGCAAACTTGTAAAGCCGTGATTTTATCGTACATGCATACAAGATAAGCAGAGACCCTGATTATCTATTGAATCAATTAGTTTCAAGCATTCTGAACATAACGATAAAGAGACAATTAAAGCAAGTAGATCTGTCTAATAAGCGATAACAAAATTGAATGTTACAAAAATTAAAAAGTATGATTATGTTTCTAGATGCTTGCACAAAAAGTTGCAATCTGTATGATGAAACGGACTTTTGTCGTTTATCTTAAGGATGGAATTTGATGGAAAAAGGAATAACGGAAATTTATGAATAAACGGAAATTAAAATTTTATTACTAAATAACAATGCTTCTCACTTAATCACTAACACAGTACATATCGATATTAGAAATTCGGATCTCTAGGCAATTTATTTTCTTAAAAAACGAGATTACTACCACTACTGATTAATCACAGCAATTCTTGTTTGCGGGCCGTGGTGTGGTAAAAAATATATAATGATCATGATAAAAAATATATAATGACCTTAATAAAAAATTAGATAACGATAAGTGAATTTCAGCTGATTTTTAAAAATATATACGCATTACAATAGAATATATTATAATTATAAAAAAGGTTATACATGTACATACATGTGCATTTTATAATAATAAAATCTCCGTGTTTTTGATTTAAGTTGATGGTCGCCCTGAATATATACTAACGTTAATACATTGGCAATCATTGTCGTCACAATAATTTATACATCAATTACGGAACCGACCTCTTCACTGTCTCCATTCTTGTGTTTAATTATATTTTATTCTAATTTTATTTTTTTTTATTTAAATACCTATAGTAAACAGAAGAGTATTAAACTAACAGAAAAAGAAATTTGCGGAAGATTTACTTCTCGTTCTTCTATTAGAGAAAGAAGAGAGAAAGAAAAAGCGGAAAGAGAAGTGCGTATAGACGGACATTACTTATTTATACTGACGACTACTATATATATAATCCAACACCCAACAATTATTGTTTGACGATAAAAAAAATTAAGTGAAAACTGCTTTTGCGTTAAGCATCTTATTTGATTTCTCAATTCCACTCATTTTCCTTCACCGCCACTTTACGTGCGAAAGAAAAGGCATATATACATAATTAGTCTGTCGAAACGAATTAAACGCACATCTCTTTTCTTGCTTTTTCTTTTTTCTCTTTCTCAGCCAAAATTAATACTCTCGACGTATGGCAATAATAAACAACTACTCTATTGAATCTATAAGAAGCAAAAAAATCAAAGAAACGCATAATATTTAATTTAACGTTTCGATTTGCTTCTCTAATTAATCTATCTACTTTGTATATAGTATACATATGCATATTTTTTTAAATCCTTATAATATTCCTCTACTGGTTGAATCGTTGACTCGTCTCAATCAGACAAAACAAAGCACGAATATTGCTGGTCCGTAGTAGTTATTACGATTACCAACACCACCACCATCATTAATAAATAATTAATCAAAAATGGATACATCATCACAATATTATCCAACTGATCATAACAACACCGAGAATAATAATCAGACAACAAATCCTCTTATAAAGCATCATAATCCTCTTCTTGAAGGGCAACAACTATCTCAATATTTGAGACATTCTATGGAACCTTCTAATCCTACTACTATAGCAAGTAATGATGATCAACAACAATTTGATTTCGTGATGTCTGCTGGACACGTTAAATTGATGTCTGAGCCGCCACCATACGACCGTAAGTGATTTATATTTATAATATCTTCGATTTGATCAGATTTAACTTAATTTAACATTAACGGACGGTTATACAAATAGAATTCAACATTGAATGGCCAAATGTTTCAATTCCAATTACAGGTGATCCTCCGGAATTCACGTTAGAAAGTGGTCAACAGCAATTATTTGAACCCGAAGAACAGAATCTTTTATTGGATAAATTCATTCATCAATATTTGGATGTGAATCCAGGAAATAACTCGGATTTTATGCTTACGCCAGAAATCCAATTTTATTCATCGCAGTCGCCTTCAAAGGATACGACAAGTAATCATCAGATTATTGATGATTCTTCTGTAGTTGACGGAAGTTCTTCTCTCGCTTCTACCTATATTTACGGAGAAAATGGAATAACAAATCTTGATGGTGTTAATTCCAGTTCTCAACATCGGCAACAAATGAACGAAGCTTTTCTCGGTTCCAATTCAGCGCGTTTATCACCAAAATCGACAAGCTCTCATAATTCCAGTACCAATACTTCGAATAATAGCGATAGCAGTAGTCGTAAACATAAACAGACTGAAGATGACAATCCAAGATCAGCAAAACGTTTTTCTTCACAAGTTATCTCAATAACTACCTCTCCATTACAAAATGGTCAATCAAGTCAGAATTCACCTTTGCAATTAAGTTTTTCTGTTAATAAAGCAGAATCATTATCGTCGTCATCGACATCATCCTCTCCCACATCCAGTAATCGAACTCATGAAAATGGAATTGCATCGTCCTCTTCACCAACAACACCTAGTAATAATAATGGAATAACAGAAGAGGGTGAAGGTGAAGATGAAAATGAAACATCCATCACACTAACAGCGATAGATGATGTTGACGCTGGATCCGAAACACGAGATGAATTTTCTTCATCTTCATCAGGGTCGAAATCAAGTCGAAAACCGTACAAAGAATTGCTCACCGAGGAAGAGAAACGTGCTAATCATATTGCATCCGAACAGAAAAGACGTAATACAATCAGAGCAGGATTCAAAGAACTCACCGATATCATACCGACACTTAAGAGCGTTAATAATTCAAAGAGTACGATATTATTTAAGGCGGTTGATTACATAAGATATTTAGAGCGACGGAACCGTAATCTGAAAGAACGTGCTAATTTGTTGGAAATGCGAGTTGAAATGGAAATGAGATCGGGTCGAAGAATTCATCATCCTGCATATGGATTTGGGTATCAAAGAATGCCATCAATTCCAATGGGTCACGTGAATCCTACTTATGGTATAATGTCGATCGCGGGACATCCTGCACAACATATGATGGGTGGGACAACATCGCCACATCACTAATCCAAAATAGCAATGTCTATTACAATGTGCACTGAATCGTACTAACAATTGTGATAGTACATGTAACAGTCATACAATAATTTGAATGACAAAAAGGTAGCGGGATTGTTTTTTTACTTTACTTTTTTTGGTAATTTTACCGTTAATTTTCAATTACATGTAATTATTCGGCACACGCACGATACACCAAATTATTAGTAATAGCACTTTCCGTTTTCTTTTTCCGAGAAACAAAAAAATGTGGATAACCAAACATTCTATTTCCCAATCAAAGTGACTTCAATAAGTATACTTCTATTTCAAACAATGCAACACAAATCACTATGTTATTATTTCATCGTTTTCTTTTATGCCCCGCTTTTCTTGATTCATTATATGAACCGAGAAAGTAAGAATGTATTCGCGTGTTGTTCCCATTGTGAAAAAGAAAACGATGTGTTCTAATAATAGATGTGTTATAATAATAGATTACTTTAAGTATATCATACATGAATTTTTCGTAATAATTGTATTTATACATATTCACCCAAATTCTCTTTCCTTTCATGTGTCGATGTGCATTTTATCGTTAATGTTTTTAATTTCTAGTAAATATAAGAAAGTAGTTTGCTCTATATTGCACATAATAAAACTAAAAAAAATTATGCCATTGTAACTAAGATTTGGTGAATATTTATGCAAAATGTCAATTCATAGAACTCGGGAAATTAAAAAAAAAAGAAATTCAGATTATTTAGTTGATTGATATGTATTCATATTACAATGGCTCT